CCCCAAAACCCCAAAACCCCAAAACCCCAAAACCCCAGCTTTGAATGACAAAATTGAAAATCTAGATTATAGTTCAAAATCGTCGTCATAGTCTTCATCTGAGCCTTCAATGATCAGAGGCTTCTTGGGATCAGTCTTCTAGAGAAAGATAACAAGCAAGAAAATACCTTCGAAATATCTGGTTTTGAAGCTCCTGGAGTTGGTTTGGAGCCTTCAGCTGGCTTTTTAGCATCAGAAGGGGTATCTTTATCATCTTTAGGATCCTTAGACTCCTCTTTAGAGCTACCTTGATTCATACGAGGTCTTGGCCTCATACGTCTCCTTGATCTTCCAGTTCTAATATAGTTAGATTAGAGACTTACGAAAGTGTACCGATAGTGGGAATTGAAGAACCCTTATCTTCTACTTCAGGAGATGGTTTCTTATCAGAATCTATATTTACCATATCATCATCGTCTAAAGGCCTCTTTGGAGTTTTTGATTCTTCAGTAATTTTATCTTTTTCAGCTTTTTCTTTAGATAATTTGTCCTTTGCTGCTTTCTCTTCTTCTTTTTCCTTCTGTATTTTTAGTTTAGCCTCCTTCTCTGCTTTTTCTTTAGTCTCTTTATCAGCTTTCTCTTTAGCCTCTTTTTCGGCTTTTGCTTTGGCTTCTTTATCTGCTTTTATTTTAGCTTCTTTTTCAGCCTTTTCTTTGGCTTCTTTGTCAGCTTTCTCTTTAGCCTCTTTTTCAGCCTTTGCTTTGGCTTCTTTATCTGCTTTCTCCTTTGCTTCCTTGTCAGCTTTAAGCTTAGCAGCCTTTTCTTCAGCTTCCTTGTCTGCTTTCTCTTTCGCTTTTCTTTCTGCTTTTTCTTTTTCCTCATTCTCCTTGGCTTCTTTTTCAGCTTTTATTTTAGCATCTTTTGCTGCTTTTTCTTTGGCCTCATTCTCTAACCTAAGTTTTTTCTCCTTTTCAATTTTCAATTTAGCTTCTTTCTCTGCCTTCTCTTTTGCTTCTTTATCTGCTTTTTCCTTATCCTTTTTCTCCCTATCCTTTTTTTCCTTTTTCTCCATCTCCACTTTCTTTACTCTCTCTATTATCTCATTTTCTCCCTTCTCTCCATTTTCTCCCTTCTCTCCCTTCTCTCCATTTTCTCCCTTTCCTTTCTCTTTCTCACCTTCCTCAACCTTCTCCTTCCCATCTCTGCCTACCTCCTTCTCTTCCTCCTTATTGTTCTTCCTCATTTTCTCTTCAATTGGCTTACCTTCTCTATCCTTCCTCTCATGTTCTTCTCTTGCCTTTTCCTCCTCTATTTTCTCTTTATCCTTCCTATTACACATGAGATTATTTGAAGCAGAACACTTTCTCCTTGGCCTGTGACCACAGTAGATTGTAGGGCGAATAGTCTGATAGGGAGACTTGGTGAATCTTTGACACAAATAATAGATGTATAAACTATGACGAAGAAAGACTACTTGAAGGTTTTTAGCGAAAGAAACCCTAGATTTACTGACAACGCAGCAGACTAGAATGTTTTGGGACTCTCGAAATACAAATAGGAAGGAGAGCACCTACAAGATTGAGCTCACTAGATACAGCTAGCTACCTTTATGTGACAATACAATACCCTCTCAAGGAATGGTCTAGCTGAGCAAGGGGTTCACCCATGAAGAAGCCCAGAAGGGGAGGCCTTACTCTCTTTCATGAACCTTCCTACTTCTGTTTTCGTTCTCAAACCCTTTATCCTTCTTCTGCTCAGCTGTCTTAGGATCTTTGGCAGGAGCTGTTGGGGCTTTCTTTTCTTCTTTAGAGTCTTCCTTGTTGGAGGTCCTGGGGTCTTCTTTGAGTTTTTGTTTACGGATTTCTTCTTCGGCTTCTTTTTGGTAAGCGTTGAATTCTTCCTTGGTGGCAGGCGGAGAGTCGGACTTTTTGTCTTCTTTAGGGTTGGTGGAGTCAGGGTTTGGGGGTTCTTCCGGTTTAGGGTCTTTATCTTTATCTTTATTTTTGGATTTTTTCTTTTTCTTCCTTTCTGATTTACCTTCCTCGTCTATAGATGATTAGAGTTTATAAATGAGTTGATGAAAGAGGTAGATAATGTAAGTTGGAAAGAATAGTAGGGATATAAAAGGTTGTAATATTTTTGAAACTCGTGTTTAAAGAATCCTGTACCTTTATTCTTCTTTCTCTTCTTTTCTTTCTTGTCATTTTTTTCTTTTTTAGCAGTATCATCATGATCTTTTTGGGGCTGAGCCTTAGAGTCTTCGTTGACCTTGGGTTTGTCTTTTAGGTCTTCCTTGGTCTTGTCGGAGTGTAAATGGGGATGCTTTATGTCTGATCTTTCTTTCTTCTTTTTCTTGGACTTTTTGTCCTTTTTTGATTTTTTCTCTTTCTTAGGCTTTTTGGACTCTTCTTTGGATGGAGATGGATCCTGAGGAGGGTCTTTTATGTCTTTTGCAAGTTTTTGTTCTATTTGGGAAAGATTTGGAGGATCTTTAGGTGTTTTGTCATCTTTCTTTAACTCTTCTTTGGTATTTTCTTTGGCATCTTCTTTAACATCTTCTTTAGCATCTTCTTTAGCATCTTTTTTAGCATCTTCTTTATCCTTTAATTTTATATCTGATTTAGTATCTGCTTTTGCATCTTCTTTAACATCTTCCTTCGCATCTTCTTTAGCATTTACTTTCGCATCTTCTTTAGCATCCTCTTTTGGACCTTCTTTTTCATCCTTATCATCTTTCAATTCTTTACTATCTTCCAGAGGTTTTACATCCTTTTCTTCTTTCTTATCATCCTCTTTGTCTTTGCTTTTATCTTTAATCTTCTCCTTATGTTTATCTTCTTCATCACCTTTTACTTTTTCTTGGTCCTTATTTATATCTTCTTTGTCTAACTTCTCTTTTCCCTCTTCTTTACCACCTTTTCCATCCTTATCCTTTTTACCAGATCTCTCTTTCTTTTTCTCTTTTTCCTGCTTAGAAGCCTTATCCTCTTTCTTTTTCTTATCATCTTCTTTTTCTCCACTCTCCTTCTTTTTCTCCTCTTCCCCAAGCTTCCTCTTCTTTACTTCCTCCTTTCCATCCTTCTCTTCCTTCTTCTCTTCCTTGCTCTCTTCCTTGCTCTCCTCCTTGCTCTCTTCTTTGTTCTCTTCCTTATCCTCGTCCATTTCCTTCCTAATCTTCTCAATTTCTTGGTCCATCTTCTTCTGTTGTTTCTTTTTGTGCTCTCTTTCTTTCTCAAGGCGCCTCTGGCGTCTTCGCTCACGGTCTTCAGCATATTGTTGAGTGGTTTTAATGACTTTCATGGAGTCACTAGGGATTTCTTCTTCGAAAATACCTGTGATTTTACTCTATAGAGGTGGTTATGAAAGAGATAGAATGGGGCTTTACCTTCTTTTTGCATTTAGATATTATCTTCTTGCCTCCAGGTAAGGAAGAGGGACGATAGGAAGGAAGTTCAAGGTCTTTGTTTGCTTCTTCGAATAGTTTCTGCTTTTCAAGCATTCTCTTTTCCTTTTCTTGTGTTTCTATGGTCTCTATAGTGTCAAGGCGTGATTCTGTGGTTTGGCGAGCAGGAATTTTTGATTCTTCTGAGTCGGTTGTATGTCTTGATCTCCCAGATTTCTTTCTTCCTGTAGATTTCTAAAAATATTATACCGAAAATTACCTTCTTGCGTTTCCTATCTGTCGATATATGGGAAGTAGAAGTGTCTATGACCTTAGAAGAAAGTCTTTTATCTTCTTCTTCTTGCTGCTTTGCCCATCTTTTGAGCTCTTCATCTCTCTTTCTATCTTCGAGTATTTCTCTCTTAATCCTCTCCTCTTCTTCATCTACTTCTGATATTTTATCAATTTTGGGAGATTTATGCTTAGGACTCTCTTTGTAAGGGCTTCTGGGTTTATAGAGATCTATAAAAGTTTTATAAATTTCCTACTCTTTTGTTTCTCTTGTTCTAGCTGTATTTCCTTGTCCTTGTTGATTTTATCAACCTTATCAATCTCTTTGACAAGTTCATCAATTTTCTTCCTAAATATAGCTCTTTAGACTTACTTGTATTCATTATCTTCTCTATCTCTTTTCTCATCTATTTCTTTTTGGAGCTAAATCAGGTGTTATTTTCCTGAAGAAATCTTTAAGACTTACTTGAGCTTCTCTTTCACGTCGCTTCTTCTCTAATTCTTCCATCTCTTCCCACTTCTTAGTCTCATATTTGATCTGGATCTTCTGTTCTATTGCGTCTAGTTCGCCTTGAGTAAGCTTTGGGGCAATGTGGCCCTTCTTTTCTTCCTCAAGACGTTTACTCTTTTCTTGCTCGATACGCTTTTCCTCTTGCATGATTTGTCTCATCCTGAGATCTTCTACTTCCATGAGGGTGTTCTCCTTTTCTTGTTTAACTTTCTCCTCAACTTTCCTGAGTTCGAATTTGTTCCATCTGGATAACTCCTGATGGTAAGACTTCTCCTCCTCTCTTTCAAGAGTGTTGTCGAACTGAGAATGTGACTGAGCTTGGATTTGCTGCTGTAGTTCATCTTGACTGAACCTAAGTTTGTTTATCTTTTGGTTCTTTTTATCAATCTTGTCTAGAAGCTCAAGTTCTCTTTTTCTAATGACTTCGTTCCTTAGTTTTTCCTCTTCTTCGTCTTTTTCAAGATTGTCATTAACTTTGTCGAACATATCTTTGATCTTAGTCTCAAAGTTCTTCATTATCTGGTTGGTTGTCTTGTCCAATTGTTCGTTGTTTCTTTCAAGTAGTTGAGTAAAGTACTCCTTCTCATCTTCTTTCTTAAGCAGTTGTTTCTGGTTCTCATGGTGGAGATAGTTTAGCTCCTCCTCTCTTCTTTGCTTCGAATTAGTCAAGTTTGTTTTTAATTCATTCGTTTTAGCCTTAATAACATCTTCAAGTTTATTTTGAGTTTCTTCGATCATGTCTTTGATTTCTTCCCTTTGTTCTACTTCTTCCTCCTGAATTTCATCGTTGAACTCCTTGGCGATCCTTCTCATATATTCCTTGTCTTCTGTATGTATGAGTTCAATATGTTGTCTGAGCTTGACTTCAGACATGAATCCAATGTCTCAGTCAGGGCATTTGAGTCTTTCTCGTTTTAATAATTCAATTCTATTTTTCCGCCTAATTGCTTTTTCTTTTAAGTGCATTGAATAAGCACTGATAGCTCCCTTTTTGACCTCAATTTCGTTTCTGATTTTGTTGATCTCCATTTGTTGGTTGATAACTTTATTCTCCATGGCTTTACATCTCTTGAAGGAATGTTGGTACTTCACATCAACTCCTTCAATCATATTTTCTAGAGTATTTTGAGTGAATTGCATATATTCCATTGAGAGCTGGCTGAGTTTGAATAGCTTTATCATAGCAGGATCTCCAATTCTATCTAGATCCTCTTTTCTCAACTTGGCATAAGTACAGTGAGAAAGAAGTTGTTCAAGCTTCCGCAAATCAGTATTTTTAATTACTTGATCAAGGTCAAGATCTTCTAACTCATTCCATCTGATATGATCTTCTTTTTGACTAAATTGGAAAGGATGGTTAAGCATTCCAGGGATTTCCTCTTTGAGTTTCTCTAGGTGTGACACCATATTCTCTGGAATATTTTCTTTTTCAGATGTCTTCTTCCTTTTAAGTCTTGGCATTTTCAATTTAAATTAAATAATTAGGGGTTTTGGGGTTTTGGGGTTTTGGGGTTTTGGGG